CATGTGTACATAGGGGAGAGTCAATCTGTTGGATGACCACAACCGGAATGGGATCTGAAGTGGCCAAGGAAAAGAGGTTTAGAGCTGGCTCTGACAGAAGAGGGCCTGGAGAGTTGGGACAAGAGTGGTAGGATGTTGAGAGGAAGGGACATCAGCCTGTGAACCTGGCCATGAATTTCCTGCCACTGCCAGTAGCACCAAGTCCTACCTCCTGGCTGCGGAAGTTATACTCCAAGGAATACTGCAGCCTTCCTCGCTTCTCATCCTCCAGACCACTCTCCAGATCATCCATATCTGGCTGTACCTAAAGCAAGAAAGCACCAACAGGTTTTCCAAAATAAGTGTGTTCAGAGAGGTTCAAGATCGGTATCTCTGAGATGTTTCCATGGCTAGGAACTACAGGTAATGAGGCAGCCCTCTAACCATGTCACTGTCTTCCAGAGCAGATGTCACCAGCCCAAGTTGCTTGCTCCATTCCAAAAAGATTAGGGTTACCAGGTCTCAGCTGCTCTGCAGGAACTGCCTTTTTGTGCACGCTGTTACTCTGCGGTAAGCAGAAACTAAGTTGTGGTAACTTTCCCCTCTTTCACTGAGGGCTGATCTACAACAAATCATCTTCCACATCCCACGAGATAAGACTATGCACATGTCAGTGTGGAACAAGTGACATGTAGTAAAAGTCCACTCCCTTTTGCCCATGCAGCAAATTGTTGTAACAGGGAACAAGGGGCTCCTGTTATTTTAAGGGGAGAGCTTAGGAGGCCAAGCTTGCTGTGTGGGGCAGGCAGCTGGGCAAAGGCCAGCTACTAGGAAGTAAGCAGGCCAGAGACAACAGGGAGAGACACTACCCTGGAGCTAACTGCACTGTAGTAAGCAGCCAAGGGGCAGATCTCCAGGTAGCCAGAGCGTAAAGGCTGCAAGCAGCTAGGTTAGGCTGCTGCAGAAGAGGGCAGCTGGCCATTAAGAAAAAGGGGAAAGCCCTGTGTGTGGCTGCAAAGCCACATAACAGGAAGCGGTGGTGCTTTGAGGAATATAAACCCAGTGCCTAAAGCAAAGTGGGCAGTCTGGCCTTGCATGCTGCAGGGAGAGGAGCGGCAGAAAAAGGTCTCAAGCTCCCTGAGAAAGCTGGAAAGAGAGAGCTAAGGGGAGAGTATGGCATTGACCCAGAGTGGGGGTGAATTTTAGTTTGGAAGTGGATTGATTGTTCTTGTGTTTAAGTTTAACCGGAGGAATGGATTGTGGCTGTGGGGAAGGATGGAGGCCGTGGAGGGGTGCCTGGTGGTGCATTCCATGTTAGTAGCCTAGCGTGGGGTTGGGGACTCAAAGGCCTGAGGGCTGGAGACAGCTCAAAGCTGAGAGGGTTGAGGCCTGCATAGTGGAACTGGAGCCCAGGAGGGGCTGCAACCAAGTCAGGGCCAGGGGCCCAAGACAACCAGAGGCTGAGAGGGTTAAAGCCTGAGTTAAGGGGCTGAAGCGTGACAGGGGCAGAAGCCAGAACAGGACCATGGGCATAGAGACAGGTTAAGACCAATAGAGCCAAGGACCTGGTGGGCTGATACACAGACAGGGCCAGAGGAGCTGGATAAATGAATTTGAAGCAACTCCTATGAGACATGCTATGGCTATGGGGGCAGTGGAGGCCACAATTTGACTTGTGCCCCTAAGGCAGGGGTGGGAAAAATGTGGCCTGGGGGCCAGATGCAGCCCACCAGGCCCTTCTATCCAGCCCACGTGGCCCCTAAAAAATTTAGTAAATTAATATTTATCTGCCCTGGGCTGCCTGTCATGTGGCCCTCAATGGCTTGCCAAAACTCAGTAAGCGCCCCTCTGCCCAAAATAATTGCCTGCCTCTGCCCTAAAGAGACTTCTGCCCTAAGGCACAGATAGAGCCAGAAGGGCCATGATTTAGCACCTGGAGGGCAACACTGGTGCCAGCGAGGCATGAGAAGTTGTGAAGTGAACTGCAGCTTGCTCCAGGCCCCTGAAGGCAGCCTCACTAAATACTATAATATCCATCTAGGTGAGGCAGAAAGGGAAGGGTGCCCTGCAGCCAGAGTGGGGCAGAAATAACTTGACCACTAGGGAGTGTCGTAGCCACCCTTGGGGGCCAGGTCCTGCTACATCTGCTCCTATCCTAAGCTGATGATATTAACTTATCTATACTGTACTGCCAGGCCTGACGTGTGTTACAGACCCGGAAGGAAAAAAAAACTTGTTTTTAAACTGATGCTTTAAGCCTATGGTTTGATGAAAGGGTCTCCATTGCAATCTGGGAATGCAAGTCTGAGAACTGGCCACACTGAAAGGTACTAAGAAATAAGATTTTAAAAAGGCTCCACTGATAAGCCCCAGTAGGTCCAAAAAGGCCATTGGTGCTGCTAAATGATGTATTCCTATATGATGCTCCTATACAGAGCAAACATAGGCCTCTCTGATATTGGCTGCTTTCATGCTCAGATCTCCCTGGACTTCTGTTTTTCTTACAAAACTGTTTAGTTTGTAGTGCATGCAAATGAGGAACTGGTGACTCTGGTTATCAGACCACAGGCAGAGCCTGGGAAGTTTTTCATATCTGTCCCTCCCAGTATATTTTCATTCTGGCTTGCAGCATGTTCTTCCAGTCCAGCCTTGGGTTCTTTCTTAGCAGAAACCACCCCAATTTATGCCAGTGGCAAAGCCCCCTCCCATCCCAGCTCCTCAGCACAGTGCCCACCCAAGAGAACCAGATGCCTCAGAGGAATGTATCCATCAGCTGTGGAGCAGGATGGTGGGAGGTCCAGGAAGGTACATACCAAGCTGGCCGTGGTGGAGCCATTGAAGTTAACCAAGTTGAGCTTCTCCTTCTTCTTGCGTTTCTTTTTGCAGCAGCAGCATTTGATGATGCAGATGAGAATGAGGATGAAAACAAGGCCCGCTGCGACCACAATGGCAATAAGAGCCCATTTGGGTACTAATGCAACATTTTGGAAAGAGAGAGAAGCAAATGGGGTTACGTTGCTTCTTCACAGAATCATAGAGAAGTAGGGCGGGAAGGGACCTCCAGAGGTCATCCAGTCCAACCCCCTGCCTGAGGCAGGATCATCCCTATCCAAACCACCTTATACAAATCCATAATCTAAACTATTTGTAAAACTACTGTCGACCCTGACGCAACATAAGACATAACACCCTTACCTGCTGCAGGTAAAGTAGGGGAACCATGGCAGCTAATGTTCTGGTTCTATCAAAGGGTTGTTAGGAGACACTAAAAAGATCCCAGGTAAAGGGCCACTGCCCCACTAGAGAGGAAAGCAAAATGCCCATAGTCCATTTTTAGGGAGAGTCTATGAAAACAGTCCCTGGTATGCAAGTGAGAAGGTTCGTAGGACTCCTGGGTGCTTATTTTAATCTCCTGATTTTAGGCAAGTTCTTTAGGTCGGGGGTCAGTACATCATAGCCCATGGAGCTAGCAGGGTATTCAGCAGTATCAAGGGCTCTGCCCATGCCATGACTGATGGCAGAGAGTGGAGTGGGCAGCAGCAGGTGGGTCCTAGCACCAGACTGCGTTCTCCCTGAGCTGGGTCATTCTGGCCTGCTGCCAGGAAACGTTGCTGACCCCTGCCTTTAAACCACAACAATCAGCCGAATACCTCTGGATTTGGGCACCCATCTAAATGTGACTTGGTTTCCAGAGATGCTAAGCTCCTGCAGTTACCTCTGGAGTAGTTCAGGGGCTACAGTTGATAAGCATGTCTGAAAATCAGGCCACATTCGCTGAGACGATGGAATTTGGAGTTGTCTAACACTAGACATTCCTATTTGAGAAAGCTGGCTTCATCCCCCATGACAAAGATCCCCAGCTGTCAGTGGGATAATAATACTCCCCTATCTCATAAGATTGGAGTCAGTGTTAATTTACTTATGTCTGTGTAGTGCTTTGATACCTCTTACTTTCTTCAGTGGTATTATAAAAAGCCATATGGTCTGTATAACTTGATGTGAAATAGGAGTAGCTGGGCAAGAACACTGATTAAAACTGTCAGTGCAATCTAAGGAATTTAGGTACAGGTCTCCAATTGATGTAAGTGGGAGACCTTTATCTAAATCTGCCAGGCCTCTAAATCCCAGTTTCTGGCTAGGTTAGTAGTATGGGCCATTGGGAGAAGGAACCCTAGCAGGTCCCTTCATGTGCCACACAAGAGAAATGACAAATGGCGGGGGATTGAGGAATATGGCAACCCATGGTAGCAAACATTCCCTGTCATCACAGATGACAAGTTCTCTTGATTAGTGAAACTTGAATGATGGGTTCTTTTGAAGACATAGGACCCAATGCTTCTATCTGGGGAAACAATGCAAGATTAAGAAACAATCAGAATCATCTCAAATCAAGCTAATATTTAGAGAATCATGCATGGCTCTGCCTTGAAAACTGGCTTTATTCAGCTCTCCTATTTGTGATAAGATTTAGCTTGCAGTTCTATGGAACTGACCCTGAAACTCTCTGCCTGGCTGCAGAAACAAGCTGCAAAATACCTAAGTTACACTTAAGTTAAACTTCTGGCCTTTATAGTGTAAAATAGGAGTGTCAAAGATCTGGCTGGCACAGTCCCACCATCTGGTCCCCATTGCTGCCCTTGGGTCTGAGTTGACCCACATTGGACCAGCCCCATGTGCAGGGCCCAGGATGCACTCAGTATGTGGCACCCACTCTGGGACCCATGCTACATGTGACTACTATTCTGGAGGGACTAGCCCCACGTCACACACACAGCCTGCAGGACCATGTGAGGTTGAAACCCCTAGTTTCACACAATAACAATGCAGAGGCCACAAACTGAACATAACAGCAATTTTTTTGCAGGCTCAGGGAGCCTAGGATGCCTGAAACAATTTCTCAGACAGGTGCAATCCACTGCATCCAGACATCCTAATAGGCTGCTTAATGGGAAACCTAACGACAACAACATATTTACCTTTTTCCTACCACATTTTTGTAGCAGAAACTCACATATGCCACCATCCCCAAATGAATACTGTGTTAATGGCATATGCCTTTGTTTATTTGATTTGGTTAAAGCTACCTACATTTTTTAATGCATCAGAAGCTGCCACAAGAGTGCAGCAGAAATCAGGAAGCTGGGCACAGAATTTAGAGCCACCCTGCTTTCAAAGCTTACAGGGCCTTGCTTGTACCCTACAGCAGAACTCAGCCTGCAACTGTGGAGCTGCCAAGTGGTACGTACCACTGCCCTTTCCTAAATATTTCCTGCTTTTCCATTTCTCCTTCCCTTGGGCACTGAGCCCCTGAGAGCCACCCTCCAATGTTGGGCAGAGCTGAGACAAAACTATCACGAAAGAACCTTCTGAGTCAACCTTTAAGTAGTATTCGAAGGTCACAGGAAGGAGGTGCTGTGGACACTATGTATCAGTTGGCCCTGAGGTCCAGAGGCATGGTCCCAGTCTGTACTGGATACCTTTCCACCCCCTAGTTGCTTCTATTGCTGGCAGATCATTACAAGGAACTGGGAGCTATCTAGATGTATCCCCTGGAGCCCTACTTGAGGGCAGCCATGTGAACGAGGGGCTTTGTATTAGTGGCAGAGAAGAGGCACTTGTCAAGATCCATTCCCAGTACTGCCAGCACAGCACCTTCAAAAATACTATTGGGTCCAGGAGTAGATCCTGAGAGAAAGTGGTGTAGTTGCACTCCTCCCCACCCCCACATACTTTGATTCCTAGTCCACCCAAATTTTAAAATAAAAGGCCTGGTTGGGGCAGCAGCATTTCTATTCAGGCAGTGCTGAGAGTCAATTGACTTCATGGCTCATCATCTTCCTGATTCCTGCTAATCTCTACACTCCACAGATATTAACAACCCTCTATCCTTTTTGATGGTGTTTATGTTCCACTACTCAAACTATCCTTTCTTTTTTAATTTTGCTGTCTGTTAGCAAATTCTGGTGATGTCTCTCATCTATTTCAGAGCCCTTCAGACTGTTTTAGCTCTATCTAAAAACCTTAACTCAGGTGTAGTAATATTAACTCAGGTGTAGAAATGACTGACACTAAAGTTTTGTTGGCACCATCAAGACTCTTGGGAAGAATAGGTTTTGTCTTATGAACAAGATATGTACATTTAACTATAATGACTATAGGACTAATGATGCAATATCTTTTAACTATTTTTTGCCTAGCTTCTTGTGGTTTTTTAAAAACTTTATGTATAATCCAGCAAATTAGTGCACATTCCAATAGTTTGTATTTGCTTTGAACTTAAACTGAATAATATAATGCTAGCCCCTCTAGCATATTTCTTATCTAAACTAGATAAATCAACTGGTTTATCTTTAACCAGAGAACAATATGTGTTGTGTTATATGTGATGATCTGCACCTCCCTTTTTAAAATCCTAGATCTGCCCATGATCAGGCCCTCATGAATCAGGTAATGGCTTGAAACCCATGGGAATTTCAAGAAGTCACACACATGGAATTCCTTTTTAATTCACCTTCTGGTTTCTTAGCCTTTCAGGCTTCTCTTTGGTACCACGAAGGCTGCACATTTACTTCCCTTTTTCACATGAAACTTCAGATTCATCTCATCCTCTGACTCCCAGAGCTGGGGCTTCAGGAAGAGTTCATAAAGTCAGAAGATTTGCACTAATATTGCAAGTAATGGTAATGCTGCCTTCATTTTCTTATAAGGTTCTCTCATATCCTCCCTATGCTAAATAGTCCTGGGCTTTGCAGTCACTCCTTATATAGAAGTTTTTTTGCATGTTGAATCAGATTCACCACCTGACTCTGAATCCTCTTCTATTTTTGCTGTATGCCAGCACTAAACAGAGCATTTCAGGCCAGGTTGTACAGATTAGTATGAATGGAATAGTTATATTTTTAGTGCTTTTTGCTATCCCCCGACTCTTACCTCCCCCTCCCCCAGTATTATATGGGGTTTTTTTATTTCTGCCTTTGCTGTTATGTTATTAGAGCACTTGGGAACAGTTTGAAACAGGTGGCTTGAACAGAAGCACCGAAAGCAGACCAAAAAACCCCCACTCCATTCAACTCAGAGCAGATGCAGAACATTAGAGAAACCTGTTAGACCCAAATCCAGGATAACAACAAGAGAGAACGTGGTTGGCCCATAATAAATACCACAATAAGCGTACCATTAGAACTCTTTCATTCTTCTGAGTCACCAACCCAGCATTTGTGCCCACTGTGCCACCTTGAATTTACTCACGTGGTATTTCATTAATAATGCCTTCAATGAAACTGGGCTGAGCAGTAGTGGTTCCTGTAGCGTTAGTAGGAACAGGAGAGGCAATCATGGTGCTTGAACTGGTTTTACTAGCCATGACTACGCGCAGGTGGCCTGAGGAATCAAACAAAATAAATGGGAAATTCATTTCCTTTCCACAATGTACACTTTCCTGCTCTATCCAACCCAGGCCTCCAATACAGCCAAAAGAAATAAAACATGTAGTTTGGACCCCTCTATAATGATGTTAACACGCAGTATGTTATTCAGTGTCTTATATAGGGTTCTAGATATGGTATGATTCTTACTAAACAACTTGGACTCAAATTGAGTGGAAGTTGACTTGTGTTTGTCACTGACAGCCGTTTTCTTTCATAAAAAAAAATTATGATACCCTGTATTAACATGGACAGTTTGTTCCTTTGGAAAAGAATCTGAGAAGGTGTCAAAGGGAATAAAAACTCCACTTTCCTTCAGTTTTCCTGCAGCTTATGCTCCCTAGATTAAGGTAGAACTTGAATATAAAGCAGAATAGCTATTCCTAGTTAAACTTCTTATGTGGACACTTTCACAAGTTACAAAAGACACTATATTTTGAAACATCCTTATCTGATACCTCATGCAATAAGGGCTGTATGGGTCATGCAATGAGGGCAGTATAGCAATTTTTGCCTGATCTGATCAGATTTTTGATCTGCATCTTTTTATTTTAAAATAAGGATGCCTTATTCCAAAGAAGTTTGATCCACTTTAAAGAAGGAGGTATTTTTTATGCTGGGGCAAATGCACCCACACAGGGAATTAATCAGGAATAGCTAATCTGGAATAATATCAGAATAAACTAATCCTCAGACACTAAATCCAATCCCTAATCAGTGTATTAGAATATACCATCTTCATTATCATCCCACACAGGGTCAGGGAGCAAGAAGCAGTGAGTATATTACTTCTGTTGTATTACATCATGGCTTGTTAGAGCTCCTACCATTGAGTTGGCACCTCATCAGCTTGCTACTATAGCAAAGCATGGCATCTACTGCTAGACCATTAATCACTTGAGACATAATCATGTTAGCTCTACTCTCAGACAGCATTGGCTCAGGGAGCCTCCAGCACTAATGCAACACAGCTACATGACCTTTGGGACACCAGAGCATGGAAAGGCAAGAGGAAAGACAAGTCAAGTCCACCATGACCTTCCAGGAGCCATCCATCATTCTTTCTTTCCCCCTCACAATCAACTGGGAGTGAGAGTAAATAAGAAGAAAGGCTGAGGGTATGTGTGTGAGAAATTTAATAAGGGGATGAGACTGTGATCCTGTGACTTACTTTGGTGAGTAGTTGCTAGTTGTCCTACTGACCAGAATTATTTTTATTTGTAATATGGCAGCATGAAGACATTCCTGGGCCCATCATGTGGGACAGGCTCCTTACACATCATAAAAGGTAGTCCTTGGCACAAAGAGTTTCCTCTCTAAAGAGAGGAACAGTCCTCAGCTCTCCCAACCCCTCGCTCGACACATATGCACTGTCTCTTCGCTGAATCAGCCATGTAAATAACTACTTAATTGTCCAAAGGGGTCATATGTTGACCCATACTGCCCAAGCAAAAAGTAAATGGAGTGTGGCGGGGGCAGAAATAACTATGTTAGAGTGCCAGTAGTCACACAAGGACCTTTTGAGTGTATCCTAGTGGGCAGGGAACAGGATCAGCATGCAGAAGACTTAGGTCCAATTCTTGGTTCTACCATGGGCTTGGTGGGTGATGTTTCACAGATTTCATAGACACTAGCACTGGAAGGGACCTCAGGAGATCATCGGGTCCAGCCCCCTGCCCAAAAGGCAGGAAGTCAGATAGAGTCAAAGGATCCCAGCAAGATAAGCATCCAAATGTTTCTTAAAAGTGTCCAGAGTAGGTGCTTGCACCACTTCTGGGGGGTGTCTATTCCAGACCTCGGGGCCTTGGACAGTAAAGAAGCTTTTCCTTATGTCCAGCATAAAACGGTCTTGCAGGAGTTTGTGACCATTGGACCTTGTCATCCCATGGGGCGCTCTGGTGAACAGGCGTTCCCCCAGATCCTGATGCACTCCCCTTATGTACTTATAGGCTGCTATCAAGTCACCCCTGAGCCTACGCTTCTCCAGGCTGAAAAGTCCCCTAGCTTGCAGCCTGTCTTCATAAGGCCTGTTCTCTTGCCCTCTGATCATGTGCGTGGCTCTCCTCTGGACTCTTTCAAGTTTCTCCACGTCCTTCTTGAATTGTGGAGCCCAGAATTGGATGCAGTACTCCAGCTGCAGCCTCACCAAGGCCGAGTACAGCAGGAGGATGACATCCTGGGTCTTGCTCGAGATGCATCGGTAGATGCAAGCCAGAGCTTTGTTCGCTTGGCCAGCTACAGTATCGCATTGGTGGCTCATGTTCATCTTGTGGTCAATCATGACCCCCAAGTCTCTTTCAGTCAGGGTGCTAGCGAGTGTAGCACTGCCGAGCCTATAGGTGTGATATGGGGTTTTTTCCCCGTGAGGTGAAGCACCTTGCATTTCTCCATATTGAATGCCATCAGATTTTTATCCATGCACCTTGCAAGCCTATCAAGGTTGGCCTGGATCACCAGCCTATCCTCAAGCGTGGACATTATTCCCCAAAGTTTGGTGTTGTCAGTAAATTTAGCCAGTCTGCTTCTGAAACTGAGAACAGAGCCTTGGGGGACACCACTGGTCACTGAGTGCCATGTTGAGTCGGTTCCATCAACTACCACTCTCTGGGTCCAACCTCAGCCAAGTCGCTTCCTTTCTCTGTGCTTCAGTTCCCCTTTGGTGACGTGGAGAAGTGGTATTAACCTCCTTTGCAAAGCACTTTGAAAACCACTGATGAATAGACTGAGGTGGTTTTATTATGTCTGCACAATAGGCAAGGACCTTCCCTCAGAGTAGGCATGTTGGCTGCTGGCCATTTAATAATCAAGGCCATGCAGTTGAAGCACCTCCCAAGGAATTGTATCCATAAATGCTGGGCCAGATTGGTATGACAAACACTGCAAAGTATAAGCCTATTTACCTTGGCTCCCAGCAGCCACTCGCATTGAATGCAAGTGTGTCTCTGTTTAATTAGCAAATGCAACTGAATAGTGTCTGCCACACACTGCTACTCAGCACAAGGACAAGTAACGTGCACAGCCTCATCCTAATGAGAAACTACCTTTACATTTCCCTTAGCTGAGCTTTTGTTAAGAATATTTCATAATGGTAATAAATGCACACAGAACTATTGTGTCTTCAAAGTGATTCACAAACCTTAACTAATGATTTCATTACATTCAAGGCTATTATTATTTTAATTTCAGTATAATAATTCCTAGAGGCCCCAAAGGAATACAAAGCCCTATTATGTTAAGCATTGTATAGACATATATTAAGAGCCAGTCCCTGCCCTTGTGTCTGATCCAAAGCCCATTGAAGTTAGTGAGAATGTTTTCATTAACTACAATAGGCTTCAGATTATACCCCCAAAGAGCACAGACAGACAAAGGAACTATTTTTATCCCCATGTTACAGAAGGGGAACATAAACAGAGCGATTAAGTGATTTTCCAATGATTGCCTTGGAAGTCTGTGGCAGAGATCTAGAGATCCTGCCCTGAACAGGGAGCTGGACTAGATGACCTTATGAGGTTCCTTCCATACCCTACTTTCCTATGATCTAGGCTTAGTTTTTCAACCTAAGATCATCCTTCCTCATAACATTAATGACTGTGAAATGAAACAATGTGCAAGTGTCGTACTGTAGTTCTGAGTTGATATATTCCCGCCCCCCATCCCTCAGGCCCATACTGTCCTGACTGGGCATTTATCTTGGATCTCTCTGATTTCTGATCCATGCTTCATTGGCTTGTCCCACTGCCAGAGCTAGAGAAATCCACATGGGCTCTGCTGCCTGGTTGTACATCCAAAAAGAGTTGTCGTCTGCTTGCGGTTGTGGCTGCTGTGAGCACTGCCTCTGTGTTTTTCAGATAGAAATTCACTCTTCATAGTGCTAGAGCAGCTGGGAAACCAAGCACTGAAAGCAGATGAGAGACAGTTTAAGATAGGAAATGACGAGAGAGAATGTGTGCAGTGAAGACTGCAAGGGACATTTAGGCAGAGAGAGGGGAAGATGGGAGATAGGAAACTGATGACTGATATCTTTGATTGTTCTAAAAGTGCCACCCAATCACAAATATTTTGCTGCTGAACAGGTTTGATGTGCATAGGCAGGACCAAGTCTGAAGTTTGCTGGCTCCACCATTGCTATTATTTTCCACATTCCTTCTAAAGGAGACATTGTCCAACTTCTCTAAGAATACTATTATCTCAGGAGCATGCTTGCTCTGGCAAACACATTGTTTTATGCCCAGCAGGTCACCCAGGAGTGCTAGTCAGCCCAGAAGGTGTGTGCATACTCAGATTAATGTTTTGGTGTGTGTACACACAAAGGTGGAGAACAGGTATGATCAGCATCTCCTTCCCACTGATTGCTAATTGCATGGCAACGCTCCTGGTTTATCAGCTGTCACTGGAGGGCAGCAGCAAATACCCTGCAGGCACCTCCTGTGGGAGACTCCCTGGCAGTCTAATTATTTAACAATGCAGAGACCTGGCTTTTGATACTGTTCCCCTCCCAGTTTCTTCTCTAGCCCACAGGCTCCATTAACCCCCATGGACCAGATCCTCAAGTTGTATTAAGCAGCATAGGCCCATGAAAGCAGGGCTCAGCAGGTATAAACTCTTATCTTTTCTTTAGCTGTATGGAATTTGTGTTACTATGATGTACAGAAACTCTGTCTCCCATGCTTGTTGATGAAAGTAAACAACCCCCCCATCCAGTTAAGTCACTGCCAACTGGTTCACCAAGTCTTTTTTTGGTAAAAGAGAAACAATGGCAAACAGCCTGCAAGCAGATTAAAGAACTGCCAAGAGTATGTGAGATTGACAATGGCTGTAATTCCCCTTTTGCCTTCAGGCACAGGCATGAATGAGTCAGTGCCTAGCAAATGCAGAGCCATCCTGCACCCTCCAGAGTAGGAAGGTGGCTGAGATGGTTTCTATGGAGCTGCTTCCTGTTTATCCCATTCTGTTTATATATTTGTAGCACTTGTGATCTAACAACTGATAATACTAAGAGTGCCGTCTGAAAGGAAGACTTTCCAAATGGTCCAAGGGTCAACCTTTTCTAGCCCATCCGCCCCCTTCCCCCCAGAATGGGCCACATTCCTGGAGTCCAAGCCATGTACTCTACTCTGCTTGGAAAACCTTCAGTGAACAACCATAGGATCAAATAATCACACTCTCAAAGGTTAAGATAAAATAGATAGGGTGGTAAGTGTGCTCCTTGAGCCACCACCATATCAAGAAAGGTTGGCACTCTCACTGTCCAAGTCTGGTCCTAGGGAAAGAAGTGACTTAGACCACCAAGACTATACCACCCTGGCCTGCCAGATGCCTACAGAAATTCTTCAGTATGAGATACTAGGCAAAGAGAACAGCACAGCATCATAGGAAAGTAGGGCTGGAAGGGACCTCAGAAGGTCATCTAGCCTAACCCCCAGCATCAGTCATTATAACACTGAAGATCACGCAGGCTGAAGAGTAAACATCCTTTCCTTCTTGCTTTGTTACTGGGCAAGGACACCCCTTTTTCCCCCATTATTACTTCTCACACACACACTTTTGAGGTAGGATGCATGTGTCTGAGATGAATAAAGTTATGTCAACAAGAAGCCAGCCATGAATTTCCCAACTCTTAATCTAAGCCAGTGCTACAGTAGATCACATCATGCCATCCAGGTTTCTAAAAGCACATTAGCAAAACCACTTTAAAAGGAGAGAAACAGCACTGCTGCCCAGTCTGTATCAAAATTAGGAAAATTCGATCATGAAGAGAGCCAACAGAATAACCCACTAAGGATAAGGATATAATAACTCTAAAGAAGTCTGGTTTCCCCTTCAGGGGCTGAGAGGTAAGACCCCTTTAAGTTGTGCAGAAAGTTAGGAAATGGACTTGATTTGACTACCAGTTGTTTCAGTTTGATGATGTGATCTAATGATGCCTAAATTCAATTTCACTCCTATTTCATTCACTTCCTGTCTCCATGCCAACCTTAACCTTAATTTGATAACTATGTTGCTTAATTTGTAGTTTAACAGAAGCCAGTAATTAGCCTTAGCAAGAAGTCAAAATGATTTTGTTTTCACATTTACTAATTTCTAATAAAACCCAAAACAAAAACAATCCAGTTTTTCTTTCAAAACCACAATTGCATTAGTCACTCTGAGGACAATGGTAATTTAGCTAAGAGACAATAGGCTTAGTGTTATAAGTTCTTCTCTTTATCCCTTTCATTAGCATGGCATCATCAAAGCAAATGGCAAGAATTCTGACCTGTAGAGGGACAGATCATCAGCTGGTATCTGTCAGCATAACATTCATTTAAACAGTGCTGTGCAGATTAGCACCAGAAGAGAGCCAGTGCCTATGTGATATACATTATGAGCTGTATGACCATATTCTGTTCAGTTATTCACAAGCAGCCCTATTGAAATCAAGATGTGTTTGCTTAACAGATAGGGTTTTGCCTTTGTGCAGATTGTTCACTTTCCTGAATTCCCATTCAAATAAAAAAAGGAAAAAAAATCACACACACATTTTACTTCCCTGTGCTCTCTCCTTAAGCTTCAAACCCCAGGAGCCCAGTTCTCCTATATGTGAATAGCCAGCACTAACTTCAGTCAGTTACTTCCATCAGCTAATAGAAGCATCTTCCCTAGTGTTTTGCACTGAATTATTATCCAACACTTCTGTAAGAGAAAGCTAACAGAGATTCTGCTCTCCTGATTACAGCCTGTACCATGATCGAGTAACAGTAAATCCTCAGGATTTATAAGTTACCAGTGCACCCTTCTATCTTGCTTAAATAAATTGAAGTGGGGAGAAAGGTATTTCCGCGTCTGGGAGAAACCAGTTGCGACCATCTGCTTTTGCTGCAGCATTTCCAGCAGTGTTTCACAGCAGGCCACATGGAAGCCAAGTGTGGGAGCCAAGCAGGTCACATGGAAGCAGGCCCATTTCAGCAATGGGGGAAGAACTTTTTATACCTAGGGCCATCAGAGTGGATTCCAGATTCACACTGAGGGGTACCCACCAAAACCTCAGGGCCCACACATAGTGCAGGTGCAGGTAGGTATGAAGGAAGGGACTGTTCTCCCCCTCCAAAACAGAGTACAAATTGATGGAACTTCTGAAAAACTGAAACTGTACCTGATCCTCTGCCTGCGTAAATCAATGTAGATCTCTGACGGACCTTCACAGAGCTATGCTGGCTTAGACTAGCAGTAGGTCTGGCTTAGAGTTAGCATCTGCTAATCTATCCAAGCAGGAGAATGGCAAGTTTGAGCAAAGAAGCATCAACCCAACAAGGATGATTTCTTCCTATAGGAAAAAATATACCAGCCTATAGTTAGGTAGCAGCCACTCAAAAAGTAACTTGAGATGGCTGGATGTTGCAGAGTATGATCTGCCCTTATCATTATTTCAACTCCTTTCAGAAGAAGTTGCAAACCTTTCTTTTTTTCTTTTCTTTATCAAATGAGTATATAGGCTGGTTGGGTAATTCTGATTCAGCAGATATATGATCAGTTGTCAGCTCTGTCACAGACTTCCTGTGTGATCTTAGGCAAGTCACTCAATTTCTGCACCTCTGATGCAGACACAATCATTCTCCCACCAGTTACCAGATTTCTGTTTAGATTCTAGACTCTGCAGGACTGGGTCCATCTCATCCTTTGTGACTGTACAGCACCTTGAAATACTGGGTCTGAATCTCACCTGGGGATACAATACAATACTACTGGAATACAAATAATTACCATTGATGGTGGAATAAATGCTTGTGTAACAGACACCATTAAGCAAATAGTTCAGAATATAGAGCTCTCAGACTGAAATCCATAATTCTGCATATTTGCACAGGACAGGAATATAGCAGGTTGGTGACAGTCAGTTGTCCAGTCAGAAAACTGTAAATTTGAAGGCTGAATATCTGCTACAAAACCATTCATGAATGGGCTATAGAACAAAACTTCCTGGGAGTAATTACTCAGTGAATCAGTGTAAGAATGAATAAACTGAAGACATGTGAAATTTGTTCAGAGACTTCACAATGGGGAAAGGAGAGGAAATAAATAATAGATGATGACTTCTTTTCCAAGCTGCTCTAGTGACTGCAGTGTGTCTGCTAGGCTGTGTTCTGTGTTATGGCCTAATGAATCAGATCCCATCACAAGATTAGCTAAATCAAGCCCCGTTCACCATCATGGGATTTAATTTTCCATGTAAAGCCCTCTACTCTTCTGTACCTGCCAGCTGATTTGTGCCATTCTGGCAATATAAAGCAGCTTTAATACTGGTTTCATGGGCCCCTGAGTGATCTCTCCTGCCCACAGGGGATGTTCAGGAGAACAAACTACCACAGCCATTCCTACACTGTCCCCTAACTCTTTGGCAGGTGAAAGTAGGGGAAGGGGAGGGAGGAGGGCATGTCTATCCAATGGAGATTTCTAGGTGCTGGAAAAATATTAGCGCTGTGGTCAGATGACATAAAGCAAATGTCAAGTGGCTTATTTGAACTGTAAGTCTCTTTGCACTCGTTCCCCGCTTCCTGATTTGTGTGCTGTGTACCAGAATATTCACACTGACTAGGCCAGATCTACCACCAGTAAAATACAGTGTAACTCCAATCTGTAATGATGTTGATTTACAGTAGCATGTGGCCCCGTTGCGTTTAAAATACTGAATGAAACAGAGCATCGTGCCACACCAAATATTCTTAAGTGTTCCCCAAAATGGCCAATCATATAGTACTTCACTATTATTTATTAGGTGTATATGCCACCCTACCCCCAAAAAGGCTCAGGGCAGCTTACTATAGAAACCAAGTAAAATATAACAATAAGGAAGTACAATGAAACAACCCTCCCCCAAACCCCTCTAAATTCCAAAGCATACCTTACTGCTCCCCCTGCCTCTGATCAATGAGGTGGTGTTTCCCTCCCATCCCAGGCAAACACACCGTGCTTTCCAATGCACATTGCTTGTCTCTCACATTAGCCCTTACAAAATGAGCAATTCCCTAATCCTGGAGGTGGTGGGTGTTTGGGATGGAACCTTCAACAGCAAAATCCTATCAACTCAACATGGATGCTCCACAGTTTTCACTGAAGTCAGGATTAGCACCAACCTTCTTACCCAAAAATGCCCTCCCCTGCCCCTCTGCAGCGTCTTCTGCACTGAGTAGCTGTTGCCTTACCTAGGCAAGAGAGTTCTGTATCCCTAATCCTGGAGGTGGTGGGTGTTTGGGATGGAACCTTCAACAGCAAAATCCTATCAACTCAACATGGATGCTCCACAGTTTTCACTGAAGTCAGGATTAGCACCAACCTTCTTACCCAAAAATGCCCTCCCCTGCCCCTCTGCAGCGTCTTCTGCACTGAGTAGCTGTTGCCTTACCTAGGCAAGAGAGTTCTGTAGTTGGTGGGGAATTCTGCTTCAGCAGATATATGATCAGTTGTCAGCTCT